TGGGGGGGGGGGGGGGGGACGAGCTTTTCCTTTTTAAATCTTTAAGCAAATAGTAACATTTGACATGTTGACTAGCAGCCTCATTTGTTAAATGGGCCAGTAGAATTACCACTCTCCTAACAGGAGGATCAGTCTGACTTATTTGCCAGGGCAGGTAGTGCATGATTTAATACTTACCTTCCATAAACATGTCCTCAAAGATGACAAGAAACAGCCTGACAAGCTCAGGTCTACTTTAAACGCAAATTACTTTTTTCTTTAATAGCACCACTGACTTCGTTTAGCTTCCACAGTCTCCCTTTAGGAAAGGGATTTACAGAGCAGTTTCCCAGAAGCATTAAATTTAGTTATTATGGAATGATGAGGAAATAAATTTGCTTTTGTGCATTCATCAAACCCACCACGTGTATGTCCCCGTTATCTGCCTTAGCAAGAAAACAAACAGGCACGTTTCCACATCCAGCCTAGGAGAGCCAATCCTATCAGGAGAAATCGCTTGGCTGAGACAATGTCAGAAAGTGTGAGTTAGCAATTTTCTTTCAGTGACTGCATTCTTGTCACTGTGACATTTAGTTCTTGTTTGACCTTCTCTCCGTCAAGACTGAACATTTGGGTTTTACTGTAAATCTAGCTAATTATCAAACAGCACACTATTTCTGAGGCAGTTTCTCTTATTCATATTTATTCACCCTAGGATATGAACATAAGATTCCCCCCTGCTCCCAACAATATTCCTGAAGATGATTTTAAGATTATTCCAAGTTGAATTTAAGATGAATTGGGGCAGCCAAGTCACAGCAAAATAAGCCAGGGTTAGACAATGCCTTGAATCTTGGATGTCATTTGCTATGTGCAATGGGCATGTCCCCTCATTTTTCTAAGTTTCAATCTCCTTACGTATGGAGTGCGGTGTCAAGTGGAGTAGATAAAACAATGTAAAGTACCTTACCAAAGACCTAGGAAAGAGTGCCTTTTAAAAAAAAAAATCTGACTCTACCTCTATGGAAGCTAGCCAGAAAATAATCAGCCTGTGGTTCATATGAATGTTCAAAAAAAATATTTATTTATAAAAAATACAATGAGATAAGTTTATGCTGAGAAATGCAGCAATAAATACAGTTGAAGAAAACAGCAACTCTACATTGATACATTGGCACAAACAGGTAGAGCAAACATGCCCCCCAGACTTAAATGTCTTCAGGCCATTTTTGTGCTTGCTCCGTCAGAAACACCACTCGGAAAAGATCTGTCAGCTTAGGTAAGAAAATGAGTACACATATAATCACAAATGCACACTGATCGTGACTTTATTTAAAAATTAGCAAACAATATTGTAGAAACATTGATATGTAAATTTCTAAAATGCTGCATCTTAGATTTAGTTGGCAAAGACCACATTTAGCAATAAGCATGAGTTTAGTCTTCCATGTGGAAACCAGATACACTCAACTGTTAAAAAAAAAAAGTTTTCTATTGTTTGAAAATACCAGCTTAAAATTGTAAAAATGCATAGATCTTTAATAAAAGAATTGGCTGTACAAGAGTACTCCCCTTTCACAGTATTCCTTTTTACTTCATATGCAAGTTAATGGTTATGCTGTAGGATTTAACTGTTACAGCACTAAAAGGCAACTATTTAGGGAAGAGGCAGAAAAGGAAAAAGGAATGTATGTAAGGCAATTTTTTTTCTTAAGGTACAATAAGCATAAATGTTTAAGGAAGACAAGATAAAAATTACTCAAGGCTAGCTTGGTTCTCACTGAATAAAAACAATGGACTAAATACTGAGCTTCTCTGTGTAAATCTAATAATCAATGCCTTGGTCGCCATATTGGTAATCTCTGGGGTAGTCATCTTGGTACTCGCCATGATATTCATCTGGGTATTCTGCCTGATAATCACTATCACTGATTTCCGAGCCATTTGTTCCTGTTCCTTGACTTCCATTGTGAATGACAGGTTCTGTCGGAGCAGCACAGTATTTGGGATCATATACTTGCCGCCCAAGCCCGTACACACTCATTCCTTTCTGGGAAGCAACTTTGTTGGTACCCATCTGCAGAGAAATTGTTGAGTTGTCCACTGGTTGTAATGTTAACTTCTGATCGTAGATGTCTCTTCTGGTACCCGGTGCTAACATCCCCGCCTGGTATTAGAACACAGTATAAAAGTTAAAACAGCAGCCAAAATCTATGCTTGTTAGTATTTTATAAATTATGAAATTTACATTGAATGTGAACACTAATATAATAACTTTCATTTGGCTCAAGGGTAAAGCTAACTTGCCAAAATATCCTGATACTGAATCACTTTTATGAAGCAATATTCACTGGCTTTTGAGCTAAACCTTCCTTCAAATCCTTGCTCTGATACAAAGTTGCGATGTGGCCTCAAACAAGTTAACTTACTTTTTTTTTTTTTTCCCCTTTTTTTGTCTTTTTTACTGACCGGTAACGGGATCACAACCCTTGATGTCGTGCCCGTACCGGGGACCGGCAACAGGATCGCAACCCTCGGTGTTGCGCCCGCACCGCGCTCAGCCAGTGAGCGGGAACCGGTCTCCACATGGGATCCGAACCCTCGGCGGGAGTGCCGCCGCGCGCTCAAGCAGCACACTCTCCAGTGCGCCACCGGGCCGGCCCAGCTTACTTTTAGTTTTAGGTTTCCCATATGTGAGATGGACACGATACTACCTTCTTTGGATTATGGGAGAGGATTAGCCATAAAGAAAGTAAAAACAAAGCATAATGCTGGCACATCTGAAAGTTATATTTGAATGCCTGTTATGACCATATGCACTATTCAGCTTACCACTTTCAAAAGCTTATAACACATTCATCAAGAACTATGCTGAGCAGACCTTAAGGACTTGAGTCTTTTCAAAAGGCCCTGAGACACACAAGCCACCCACTTCAGGACAGCTACTCCACTCTCTTCCAGAGTGCAAGAACTCATATCTCATTTCTGCATGTATGTCAAACACACACTTCCAGATTTAAAGTGGGTGAAAAAGCAAACTTGAGTGGCAGCTATGACACACACAATGCCACGTGTGGCAGGATGTGTTCCATACAGGGCAAACAAGTTTCTTTTTGGGGTCATTAAAAAAATGTTTTTCAAACCATATCCCCACTTTTGTTGGATGTGAGACCTGTCTGCTTGCAAACGGTTATCAGAACCTCCTCCTGAGGTGCTGGTGGTCTATTCTCAGCAAGGACATTTTTATGTCTTGGATGTGGTGGTAGAATACCAGCATTTTCACCATGTTGCGTTTCTACCCACTTATGCTAGTTAAACAGTTCTTAGTAGAACACCTGATCATTTTACCTATCAGCTTAATTGATGGCTCCTTTAAAAAAAAAGCCACCAATTAAATGAGCAATCTTTTATTTGGATTTTGGAGCACAAACACTATAGTGAATCTATCTTTTTTCTTCTGGTTTGGTAGAAAGGCCAGCTGTTCTAGCTGCCAACAAAAACAATGATACCATACTTTTGTTGCTATAAAAAAGATTCCTTGATTTTTTTGCTTTCCCAGGAAATCTACTTTCCTAGGAATACACTCTAAAAATATTATACAAAAAAAATACCTATTTTGAACTTTTAGTGAGTAAGAATAAGGTAAGTGCTAATTTAAAGTAGCTCTTTGAACTCTTTGCTACCAGTGTAAAAAGGTATCGCTTACCTGGCTGGCTCCTTTGTTAGTGCCCATCTGCAGACTAATTGTGGTCTGGTCAAAAGGTTTGTCAGTTTGCATTTTGGGATCATAAAGATGCCTCCTGGTCCCATAGGCTGTCATGCCTGCCTGGCTGGCACATTTGTTGGTTCCCATCTTTTAAGTTAAAAATAAAATTAGCACTAATTTTCAGAAGTCAACAACATATGCACCACAAACAAAACTTTCTGTGCCACTAAAAAGATGGAAGGGGTGCAAATGACAAGTTCCTGAGCTGAGGCTCTGGTCATCTAAATATAAACTCTATGCTTTTACAAACAAATTTCAAGTGCTAACTTTAAAAAGGAAAATTTTCAAAACATTCACTGTATATAAAACCTCACAGCATAATTAACCATACCTAAACGTGCATACATGAACAGATGGCTGGATACACGAAAAGCTATTACAGTGGCAAAATTATGAATAATTTCCTCCTATTCTCTGTAGCAAAGATAATCAAATTAAGGGGTATCTACTTCTGTTATTTAATTGAACAGAAGCAATCTCAGGCCAGGCAATATGCCTTTCTACTCCAGATACGTTTTATAGAAAATGTGAAAGCAAATGCCAGGTGTTTTCTCTGGGAGCTTAACAAGAGCTTATTTAAGTTTCAAAATCAAAAAATTTTAATGGGAAAAGAGCTATATTTTATTCTTCCAACTCACATGTTACTGGACAGAGCCAGAGAGAGAGGCAGAATGAGTAATCTGAACTCAACCAAGTCCAGAGGAAGCATAATTAATTTCTCTTCCCCACTGAGAACAATACGGCTTCAGGACTAACCAGCACACCCTGTTCTACTGGTTGGGGACACGTATCTACTGTTGGCCTTTTTTCCTTAAAAACAAGATTTATTAAAGAAGCGCTTTATAACCAAAAGTAATAAAAGTTCATTGGGGAAGATTCACAAAACATATATAAGGGGGAAAAATTATTGTAATGCCACCATCAGGACATTTACTGTCAACATTTGTGAATATCTTTCTAGCTTTTTTATGTCATCTGTGTATATATTTATAGATACAAATGCATATACACACATATACATACAAAACTATGCATGTGCATTTTTTTTTAATTAAAAAAAAAAAAATCAGTGACCACAGTATTTTATAACCTGGTTTTTTTCTCCTTAACCTATCTTTTCAAACTCTAGTGTTTCATTTTTACATTATGAGTTCCTTTTATGGAACTGACTACTGTTTGGAAATTTACATTTTCAATTTCTCACCACTAATACAATTTTGCACTATACAAAAATAAGTCCACCTCACATGAACTCCATTGAGAGGGAGAGGCATCATATCAAGCACATATCAGAGTCAAGCCCACAGCATTTGGGGCATTTAGTGATGATATTTTTGTGACACTCTCCAGGGGAACGATGTGAAGGGAAAAAAACCATCTGAACTAAGTATTTCCCAAGAATTCTGACAACTTCTAACAGGGCTTGGCTGCTGTATCATGCTTTACTAATGTAAATAAATGACTTTGGCATCAAAGTTTTATAAAATTGCCTTATTTGGTCAACATTTAGGAATTTATAAAGTACATTTTCTTAAAAACAAAAAAAAAGACAAAATGATTAGAAAACAAATTTTATTTCCTGGAGAAACAATTGTCAAGTCAGGTGGCATACATGAGGCTTCTTTAAAAACAATCATCTTCACTGTCCCATGAACTTTATATAAATTGTATAAACCACATATCCATCCCTCCAAATCTACATTATAATACTTACTTCTATCTATTCTTTACTTGTCAGAGACTTAACATTTTGCACGGCAAGAATTAACGATATTGAATAAGTAATTGAATAAGCAATACCACATTACTGACCTGCAAACCAATAACACTTTGACCAGCTTTTAATTTTCCTTCATCAAAACGTCTTGTTTGTTTTTCTGCATATTTAACTCCAATGTCAATGGTTGTATGGAATCCTTTTGTTTTAGCCTAGACAGAAACATACACACTAACTGAAAAGGAACATTTAAGTAGATATTCTGCCAACAGAGTTTTACAGAAGGAACAACAAAGAAATATCTTCATAGACAAAGGCTTTATTAGGTAAGATCCAAACTAGAGGTGAAACCAAATTTAAGACTCTTCAGTAATAGACTGTACCCTCTAAAATGTGAGTATTATAATTAAGCTATCTAGTAAAAGGCAGCTGATGTCAGCAGCCTTTACACAAAGCTAATAATTACAGAAGAGACAGGCCCCTCCCCACCTAGACTAAAGCCCCACGGGAGAGCAATGACGCAATCCATTACTAACGTGCTAGGGATTTTTTAACCAGCCATTAAAGACATGTACGTACCAGACCTGCTAGAGCCACCAGTGTAGTCTGGACCTGGGTCATGTTTCCATTCTCAAAAAGATCATTTGCTTCAAATATATCATGTGGCTTCATACCATAAGCCTGAATAGCTTTAATAAAGTTGCCAATATTCTCCAACTATAAAGAAAAAGAGTCATATAAATTT